TGCCATGTTCAATACTAATGTCTGATGTAAGTTGATGTATTGTCTTTTATCTTTAACTTAAAAATCTCAATTTGGGTCAAATGCATTCAGCCACCATTAGGTCACAGCTTCCAACATTCTTGTGATACTAGGAATGTCAAAGTAAAGATTATTCTAGAGCGTTTCAATTTGTCATCAAACTCAATCAATAAATTTTATTATTATCAATAATTGTGTCTCCACTTTACATTGTATTTCAGTGGTACAGAGTGCAGAGTGATTAGTAAAAGTAGTCTTGATTGATTATTAGGAATGTCCCAAACGAGAATCTGATTTCAGTCTGGATCTGTCATTTTAAGTGGATTGTCTGCCCAATACGAGCATTTCTCTACAGCACACAGTTACAAACTTAACACTAAACATCACGCATGGATAAATGTACAGTAGTCCCTCATTTATTGCGGGTGTTAGGTTCCAACCCCCCACCCCGCAAGAAGTGAAAGTCTGCAAAGTAGCGACGTTATATTTATTTTAGTATTTATATATATTTTAAGGCTTCATAAACTCTTCCCACACTCTTGCAGTGTTCTAAACTCTTAAACCTACATCATTTTAACAACATACATACAGTACTGTATATGTAGCTACTAAATTTTACTTGCCAGGTTCTGCAGAACAGGAGCAGCTCAGGTCTAGGTAGTCGATTCTAGGTAGTCGATTCTAGGTAGTCGATTGAGTCCAAGTCTGGATAAAAAAAGTCCTGATGCACTCTGAAAACAGCCCCAGACCTGTCCCTGTTTGGAAGTCTTCATGGGCCGTTTACCAGCTCTCAAGATTCACTGATGGGTCTGGAGGTCTGGTTCTGCTCCAGTTCCATGGGTTCAGTGCACCTCGCTGCATCTGCTGGGCGCCGAAGTCATTGTAATAAGTGCCAAACTTTTTCCGATCAGATCAAAACTGTCCCATCTTTTATTTCAGCAGAAGGAAATGGGGCTTCTGGGCAGGGCTCTGTTGGTTTCTGGGAAATGTAGTCATTATGAGCGGGAATACAGTATAGGTTTATTAAAAGAAAACTACAAAATGGCGGCGTCTGTCTGAAGAATTTGATTTTTTTTCGTTAACTTTTCACTGTACAGTATCCAGGACTGTTCCAATCACGAGTAATATTAACGTTGACGATCGTGTCCTGTACAATTTTTATGTTTTATTTTTTGGACAAACTACAATATAGCGAATCCACAAAAGTCGAACTGCAAAGTAGCATGGGACTACTGTACCATCATTACCGGTAATTATATTTACGGTAAATGTTTCACAACTCTGTAGCTCAGCATTTTTTTTCTTCAGAAATTTTATAACTCCACAAAGAGCAACATTTCTTTTAAGTAGCAGTACTTTGAAGAAAAACAACACTAACAATATTAAAATGCAAGCACCTCAACTTTGTTTATGTTGCAAAAATAAATCCAACATTATTTAAAAGAACATTTAAAAAAACACAAGTGTCAAAAAGCTTGAATTAACTGTGTATTGTACAAAAAACTGATCTTTTTATGTTTCATCACTAAATAAGTGATAAAATGAGTTGAAATTGTTTCATTTACTGTATGTGAAAAAAATTCATGCTTTACATTATACGATGATGTAGAAACAGCTTTGGTAATGTACATGCAGTAGTCCCTCACTACGTCGCAGTTCGTGTATTGCGGACTCGCTCTATCACAGTTTTTCAAAATAAGATTGGATATGACACACAATTGGCTGATTGATGGATGAGCCACACGATTGGCATGGAAATTTTATTTAAAATAAATTATTTTTAATTATTAAGCACCTGCTGCACATTTGTGCAGCTGAACAGCTGATCAGCTGCAGAGCTGAGAAGTGGGCGTGGCCAAGTGCGCTTGCAGGTGGCAAAGAGGAGGCAGGGAGCTGAAATCATGACATTCTGTGTTCTTTTAGAACGTTTAACAGTTTAGAAACATTGTTTAGAATATTTCAAGAGTGTGGGAATGTTTTAAAACACATTTAAATATATATATATATATATATATATACAGTATATATACTAAATAAACTACTACTACTTGTTCTACTATTTCTACTTCACGGTTTTTCACTTACCTCGGGTCGTCAGGGATCCCCGCGATAAATGAGGGACTACTGTACTGTAAACTGGTAAATGTTGTATATTGTAAGTTTTTTAATATTACTAAGAGTAATAATAGTTGCAGTGTGGTATAAGCATTAAAGACCATTTTCAGTCCCACACAATAATAAATAATTTATCATATACATTAACCCTAAAGTGAGACTTTTTAATAATAATTCTTATATTAATTTGCTTTTTCTGAGTTACATTGCAGTGACTTTAATTATTTGTATATGATTACTAAAATTAATATATGCCAGTCTGTCTCTTGGTGTCCGCACACGTCAAAAGACAATTGGAGATGCACATTTCCTTTTTCTTAGATCAGAATCCTAGAAGTCCTGGATTGTTTTCACAAACTTCTCTAAAATGAAATGTCAGAACATTCCTTCATATAGTGATGCAGCAGCAGAATGGCCACTAACATAATTGTTGAAACAAAATGTCTTGTTTTAGGTTAAACACTCAGAAAATGTAGGAACAACACATTCTGTTTGTGTGTGTGTGTGTGTACCCCGAGTACATTCACGACTTCTGGAAAGCTGTTCAGAGAGAGAACAGATTTCTCTCTGTGAGGCGCAGCTGATGGGTTATGTGAAACTTTGTGGGAATTCACATGCATCTTGTCCGAGTCCGAAAACCTCAAACATGAACTCTTCGTAAAGACAAAAGATTTGTTTGAATAAAACGTAATTTTGTGGGTTAAATTTCAAAGGGAGCCACCCTCTTTGCATGCTGTCTGCTACTTGTGAATTATCCTGATGCAGCAAGAACATCTTTTTTTGTATACAGTTTAATTAGTTGAAGTTTGGGCAAAAAATTGTGACTGTTAAAGGATTACAAACGCCATTTTGTTTCTTGTATTCTTGCCTACAGCTCTTGTTGTATCAGGATTACAGGGTTGTATTGCCAGTTTCTTGCAGAACATTTGATCAAGCCCTAAGACTATGGAATGATGGTTCGTCTTTTCCACATGGTGTCCATATCTGATAAACATCATACTTAGGAAACCTACTGTGCATCAGTCTTTACAAAGTATAATAATAAATAATTCTTAGTTCTGTAAAATAAGTGCAGTATTTTCCGCCGTAAACATCGCTCTGCCCTATAAATGGCATCAGTCCAAATATGTATAATAAAGTGAAAAAATCCATAAATATGTCGATTGGCCATATATGTTGCATATATTATGCGTCACTGCTGATGCGTCGCATTTGTTACGCGTCACCACTGACAACTGGGAAATGTGGGCCGGTGTTGTGTCAAAAATCAATTGGCTGCCAATGGCGGCCATGGGAGTGTGCACAGGAGGACTTTAACAAGATTTTAACCAAATTAAGGCTTTAAAACTATTATTTGTTTGCTCAAAATTATAGCAAAGGTGTGTCTCAATTGAACTTTTACTTAAAAAATGCATTTTAATGGTCAAATTAGCTGCATTTTGTTGGGGCAGTGCAACGAAATGAAGCTGGTTTGACGGTTGCTCCAAGCAGTGAGCAGAACGTAGGTGGAAGTGTATGGCAAGCCGATTGTGTCATTAATAGCTGGTGAAGATTCTCAGTCATCCAGGACATGGTAAATTCAAAAAAGTTCAAGACAAAAACAATAAAGTATAAAGTAAAGTATAATAAATAAAGTCCAGTTGTTTTTGTCTTGAACTTTTTTGAATTTGTCATTATAGCCACTTTTACCTATTACATGATACAATGGCATGCCTTACTACTCTGGTGCCATCTAGCACTGAAAAATAGTGCTGTTCAATTTTTTTCAGTCAGAATGAATGAAAACGGTCATAGCTCAGCCAAAAATTGGTTTATAAATATGGGAAAAAATCCCTTAATATGTCGCTTCTGCCTACATGTTGCAGGGCATGCAAATTATGCACAAAAAAGTGACTTATAGAGTGAAAAATCCGGTAATCAAAAAGATGCACTTTCAATGCAGTCATATATACTGTGCACATCTCATAGCAGGTTTTTATCTAACCATGCTGATTTGATTCTAATTATTCTCCAGAGGTTGGTAGTACTGGTCCATATTCCTATTGTAGTGGCTCTTACAAAATGTGGATTTGAAGTGTTTTATTTAAAATAAAATAAAAAAAGATAAACACAATACTCAGGGTTTTTTTGCGTTGTAATTTGATGTGTAAACTGATGAAGAAGTTCCAGTCAGTTTAAATGAAATGTTGAGTATCTGGAAAAAGTTTAAAAATATATTTATTAAAATGTTCAAAAATAATAAAGCCATTAATGTGCATTATACTTCCTTTTTTTATTATTCTGGTCAATTATATTTTCTGGCTTTGCAACCTGAGTATGAAATATGGCTGCCATGAGGAGAGGTTTAATAGGCTGCTCTGCCGTGTGCATGTAAGGCATGGTTTTTAAAGCCATCTTGCTTGTTCTCTGTTTCTACACTCTTTTCTTCCTATCTGTTATATGCTGTTATTATCTCTGTAACTTTTCTCCATGATTCGGTGAAGATGTGGTGTTACATACTAAATTTAAGTACTTGTCAAAGGATTAGTTGTTAGTGAATACTTGCACTTTGTGCCTTGAGTTCTCAGTACTGTCATAACACATTAGTGTGTCATAAAAATACACAAGCCAAAGTTAAAAATCAAAAGCATTCATTGAAAATTTGAGTTCTTGTGGGCTAAACCTGCTATTTATCTAAATGTAGACAGAAAGTATGTGGTATTGCTGATTGACTCAAGACAATTTTTAAATACATTTTTTAATCTAACTTTTTTCCCCTGTCTTTTTCTCTTCCCCTCCGTTATCTATGTCCTTCAACCTGACACCTCCTCTTCTACCTTTTGCCTCCTTTTCTTTATCTCCTTCTACGCTTTGTTCTGTCCTCCAAGACCATCACTGACACCAGCCCAATGCGTCGCTCCACCTCCAGCCTGGTCCATGGACGTTCAGGCCGTGGCGTGAGGCTGGATGACTACTCCCTGGAGAGGGTAGTGTCTGAGGAGGGGAGACACGGTGGAGGATGTAGGCACAGGGACAGAAGTCACCGCACCTCACAGCGCTCCCTGACCAGATACACAGATGCAGATACGGGTGGGTAACCATTTAACAGACTGCTGGCAAAAATGGTTTGATTTCCAGCTTGATGAGTTTAATTAGTGGTTATCTGATCCGACACTTAAAAATCTATTTGGTCCATCAAAGCACCTTAATTATATTTTAAAATAGAAAACATACCATACCATACCACTTTATTTATAGAGCACTTAAAACGGCAACAAGGCCGACCAAAGTACTATACAGCAGAAACAAACACAGCACTCGGCAAAAAATAATGATGAAAATACATAGATCTAAATGGAAGAACAATAACTAAATGGCTAACATTGTAGAATACAGACAGGTTAAGAACAAATCACACTGTCAAAAACCAGGGAAAAGTGTTTTTTAATAGTCATTCCACAGTCTTGGACCTGCAACAGAGAAGGCCCTGTCACCTCTAAGCTCAAGATGGATTCCTGGAACCAATAGAAACATCGGATCTGCTGACCTCAGAGAGCGCTTTGGGGACATATGGCTGCAGCAGATCAGCGAGATAAGAGGGGGCAGAATTGTTCAGAGATTTAAAAACACACAAAGGATTTTGAACTGAATTTGAAAGTGAACCGGGAGCCAGTGCAGGGAGGCCAAAACTGGAATAATGTGCTCTCTTTTGCTTTTATCAGTTAAAAATTGGGCTGCAGCATTTTGGACCAGTTGTAATTGTGCAATAGAGGTCTGACTGATTCCAAAAAGAAGCGCATTGCAGTAATGGTGCCTGGATGTTACAAACGCATGTAATACAGTCTCAAGGTTATTTTTGGACATATGGGCTTGAGTTTAGACATTCGCCTTAGCTGAAAAAAAAAAAAATACAGGATTTAACATTCATGTTTACATGACTGTTAAGTTTTATGGAAGGGTCCATTGTCTCTCCCAGATTAGTGACTCTTTGTTTCTCTAATGGGGCTTGAGAGGAAACGTCAATACCATGGTTTTTGATTGTGCCATTGGGAGTAAACAACATGACTTCAGTCTTCTTCTCATTAAAACTTAAGAAATTTAAAGATATCCAGTCTCTGATGTCAGCAAGGCAGTCAAGAAGAGGTTGAATAGAACGTGCACCACTCTGCTTCAGAGGGAAGTAAATTTGACATCATAGGCGTAGAAATGAAAGGGTATATGTTTATGGAAAATAGCACCTAGTGGCAGCAGGTATAAAGAAAAGAGACGAGGACCGAGGATGGACCCCTGCGGTACCCCCCCACCAAAGAGCTGCCAATGAAACTATAATGCAATTAAGCTTTTTTATCATCCAGAAACCATATTCACATCTGCTACTTGTAAAATCCTTTGAAATCTTCATGTTTAACCCTGGCGTGTACTGTGTCTACTATGTGAACTGAGACATGTCTTCACTAGGCCTGGGTACAGACCTCAGCACAACGACTCAATCAGGCGACCTGCCACCCAAAGAGCGTGAGCGGGACAGAGGCCGCACCAAGGACCGTCGTCACCACCATCACCACCACAGACATCACAGCTCAATGGACAAAGATCGCTATGGCCCCGACCGCCATGACTACCCACACAGGCATCCCCATGACCGCCACTGGTCCCGTTCACCTAGTGAAGGACCTGATGGGAGAGGTCACAGACAGGTGGGTTCCAAAGACTAAAATGTTTATGATGAATGTTAAATAAATAAAATATACATGACAGCTTCAAAAAGTCTGTTTTTTCCTGACTTTTGACTACACAAAATTTGATGAAATGTGCTTAATTTAATTTCCATATGATGATCCCTGTACCATTTCCTTTTTTACACTGACATCAGCACATGTGCACTTATCCAGTGAGAGTTCAGTCATTTTCCATATTTTTACTTATGGATATCAATCTATCTTTTTTTGTTATCTTTTTTCCTTTGTCACTGTTTCTCTATGTCCATTTTTCTTCAATGTGATCTGTTGCTTCTTACTGTCAATTTGTTGCTTCATCTCTACGTTTTGAACAATTTCCAATGGTATCTATCTATATCTATTTATCTATCTATCTATGTATCTATCTAATCTATCTATCTAATCTATCTATCTCACCATCGCTTTGTTTATTCTGGTCTTTGTTGTTATTGTGGTGCATTTTGATTTTCCTTGTTTACATTTTGCTGTAGGGCAGTAGTTCAGTAAGCGGCAGCCCAGTCCCGTCCACTTCAGGGACCAGCACGCCACGGAGAGGTCGTCGTCAACTGCCACAGACCCCTGCTGTTCCACGTCCACATGTCACCTACTCTCCCGCTGTTCGCAAGCCCATCTACGCCCCCCCAGGCCCAGGCCGATTGCGCTCGCCTTCCCCCCGACACTTCTCCCCACCAGATCATGACAGAAGTTACCACCGACCTCCATCACGCCATTCCTCTCCGCACCATGGCGGGTCCTCGTCCAGGCATGGTTCACCACGCTCACCTCGCCACCAGTCCCCGCACTCACCTCTCCATGGTTCTCCTAGATCTCCACACCGTAACCGCTGGAGTGGGCCCCCACCTGGCGACAGCCTGGGCGGGGACGGGTCCTTCTACGAGAGAGATTATGAGTATGAGCGGCACCATGAGCCACCTGCCTATGAGCAAAGCCTCTCCCATGGCAACCCTCATCCGCACAGTGGAAATCCTCACCCGCACCCACGCTCACCTAGGACTGCCCGCCATGGGCCCCCTCCACCCCCACCCACACATCCGCGTAGGGTACCTAATGGCTACCGCTCATCCTCACCGTCCCCACATAGACGGGGACCAACGGGTGCACCCCACCAACACCACCGGCCTCCCCATGCCAGAGGCCCCCGCAAGGGCCTTCATGAACCTTACAGTGAGACGGACGAGGATGACTGGTGCTAGCGACCACAGAGTATAAGAAATACAGACAACAAAGAAGAACAAGAACCAACGCCTCCAGTGCTCTGGCCAATGATATGAAAACTTTTAATAAAGCAGAGTTGGTAATGTTTTTCTGGAGGGGTTGGATACTCAAAACTCTTTACCTTCACCCTTCAGACTCTTAATAAGATAAAAGGGTGGAGGGTAGGAGGTGAAGGTGCTGCATAGCTTTTTACATATTTTATGAAACTGTAAAACCTTTGACAGAGCAGCACCCAGTTAAGATGGAACTGAGAAGGCCAAAAGAGCTTTGGTAAGGCCAGGGCACTCTATCTCTGCGTTTCTCTGTCTCAGAACTACACTTCCCACAACTAGCCTTCATCATCAAGGCCAGGTTTCAAAAGGAAGAGAGATCTGTGGGATCAACAGAGAGTAACAGAGGAGCATGAGGTTCTGAAATGTGATGCGATCATTGCAGTTTGTGAGGTCTAATAGCACTTTGCTGACTGACATGCAATTGCTCAAAGTTATCAGATGTGTGCTATTTACCACTGGCCTGACTCCTACTGTAAACCGAGAAGAAGCTGGAATAAGGAGTCCATGCTTTGACTCTGTTCTAAAACAGAAAATTTAAGAAAATTAGGTATTAAAAAGCCAGGACCCCCCAACCCTTACATGCCAAGCTATGCCTCCAGAAAATCAAACTTGAAACAATGAAGAACATGGTGAAACTTTACATGACAATGAAAAGAAAAAAGGGGAGAACATCGACTTTATCTTTAATCTACTCTGTTTCCAAGGGACAGAACCAGGAAGCTCCGCCTATACTGCAAAAACCAGCCAATCACAGTGCTGGCCGATATTTGATGAGTTTTATCATCTCTGTTTACTGTTATGGACTCACTTAATGCTGATGGAACTGCTGTGACATCACTTCCTGTCCAAATAATGTTAGTGGGGGGCAACGGGGTAAGGCACAATGTGAGCTCACTTCCTGTTCAAGTACACCAAAGGGATGGGCTCTGGTAACAAGAGAAGGGGATTGAACACTTTGTCAAACCTTTTCGTCCTGTGCTACTCAACTCGGTGTATGAGGGAAGATGGCATGACAGGAAATGGCATCACGCAGTTGAATGGGGCGGAGGAAAGGAAAGGAGGGATGGGGAAAAAGACTAATTTCTTCAGTATTTCTTCTATTGATTACTTCTCCTTCTTGTTCTTCTATGGACATTGAAGTTTGGTTCTTCTGTTGCATTCGCTCAGCCTCCTTTGATATTTTTCAGAGTCCAAAAAAACTTGATGGAAATCTGCATGACTGATAAAATACGTACTAGAAAAGAAATTTCAGTTGTGTGGGTGGGTCTAGGGGGCTTTAGGTTTTTTAATGAGGTTGTCTTCTTTCTGACTCTCCCATTTTCTCCCACTCTTTGGCTTTGTCTCGCTTTTCCTTGTCAAAAGTATTCTAATTGGATTTATTTTTAACCTAAATCGAGACATTGACATTCAGCTATTTTGTCTGTCTCAATTTTCTGCAGAAAGCTTGGTTTTTACAGCTTGTCAAGAGACAAGAACCCCAGCAGGGCTTGAGAAACAAGAGGGAGAGAGAGTGGTCAGAAGGAAACTTTTGCTACACTCAGTTTACTATTGTCAATGATGACAGAGATGAATATTTTATTGTCAATGCAAAATGAAACTGATGTTGATACTGGTGATGATTGACTGAATGATAGAACTGTTGCTGTAGACTTGCTGTCATGTTTTTTGGAGTTCAAAAATGTTCATCCCGTTTGCATCATCTCTTATGTTTGTGCCCCCTGTTCTGTGATGTTTACTCAGTTTCTGATGCCTTTGTGCAACTTTTGTTTGGCAATGACAGTTTTGGAAGATTCATTTTGCAGTGTTGCGTGTTTTAACGCAACTCATTTTCTCCCCAGAATGCTAAAGGTGCATGTCAGGAGTGTCTTAAGTATCTGACTCTCATGAACCCACAAACTCCTGTCAAGCTTACCCAAAGATAGTAAATCATCATCAGAGTGAAGCGTAGAAAATACTATCATTTACAAAGGTTTAATTTTTCCTGAGGTTCACGCGTTTCCGAATCCAGCCAAACATACGTAGATTATTCTTTATTTTCATTGTTCACATAAGGCTCTGTACTTTAGCTGTGAGTTTATTTGCCAACAATGAAAGCACGGCATTAGTGGTACAGTGTTGGTGTCGGTCAGTGTTGAGGGATGTTGGAGTTTTTTTGCCACCAAAGGATGGTAGTCATTCATCCATCTATTTTCTACACTCACTTTCTGTGCAGGGTTGCAGTAAGCTGGGCCTATCTCCAGTGATCAATGGGCAAGAGGCGGGGTACACCCTACATGGGTCACCAGTCCAAATAGTAACCAGCACTCATTAATCCCCTGCCTTCCCATTCTACTCAACAGACTCTTGGCCAGAACCTAGTATTTGGCCCTGTGGCAAACCTTTCACTTGTGTTTTCCTTAAATTGTCTTAAAGACATATAAATCCCATTCTTAGTTCTGGAAACTGTGGATGTGTCCTGAGAGATGCCATAATTTCTGCGTGTCAGTCTCTACTCCACATACCTGTTTGTGCCAATGCTGACCCCCTTACCCAGTCAAGTACGGTTTGTAGCAAAGCTGAGCCTTTCTCCACCAAAAATCACATCCACGGTGTCTCGTTTATCTTCATTTCCAGACATTTGCTTTTACATCTGACTTACAAGAAACTGACACTGGAAAGATAGCAAATATATTACAGAGCAAGAACATTTAGAAATAATAGGTAGATTGTAGTTTTTATGAGGGACGACAGGCAATTTATAGACAAAGATAGTCAATTACCTACAGGTAAATCTAGAAATAATAAAGTAAACGTAGTTGTGAGAAAAATAAAGACTATAAGTAGAGTTTTGGATGATTATTTATTTTGCATACTGATCACACTTGTTAAAAAATGTTGAGAGGTGAACTACTTTTTAAAACGTGCACCATTTTTCTCTGCATTTGCAGACAACAGAAACAAAGCCCAATACTCATTGTGACTCTATGCAGACCTCAATTAGCATTTTTCCAATGTTATTCAGAGGAGGAACTGCAGCGCTGTGGTACTATATAGGAAATTTGCAAAACAAAAACCTACAGATATTAGTTGTTGTAAGGACTGGCACCACTTTTGCACATTTCACCTGACATCACACCCCACAACGAAAACACTTTCTTCAATGTACGTCTTTTTACTTTCCCCTTCTGCAGCCGATTCCTTTTCCCTGTTCAAACTTCTCTGCTCTCCTGACACATGTTGCCTCCAGGCCATTATGTTAAGGACAGGGAAGATAAGAACTGGGGATAGAGAGTTTTGTTAACTATTATTCTGGTGGAAGTGACGGGGTGCTAACTAGAAATCCCTTTGTCCTCATCTGCCATAACAAGTGGTATGTCAGGTGAGGATTCTTCTCCAAAGCCCCCTACAGAGCCACAGTGCCTTCTGTATCCGAGTCACATCCGTCACAGTCTCCTCACTGACAACAGCTCTCATTCACCCACCACCAACACCCTCCTCACCTGCTATTGTAGACAAGATGAGCCACACTGCGCCTTAAAATCAGACCTCCCAAGCTAGCATACAAACTGGGAGCGCTGTGATTTTGAGACTGGGCCACAGTCAGGAAGAGGTCAAAAGACTATGGGCTTGGTGCAGGGAAATCAGTGCTACATCTGGAATGGGCTAGACTATTTAAAATATTTTATTCAAAGACTCATATTTTTATAGTACCTACCAAGAACTGTAAAAGATCCCCACAGTTTGCATCAGAGCCTTGTGCTTTTGACTTGTTAAGACGCCAGTGCAGTTTTAGATCTTGATATCTGGCTAGCCCTTTTTTTTTTTTTTTGGCTTTGGCTTGGCACATCCAACAGTTTCAAATGGTGTAGTGAGAAGTTTACGAGGTGGTTTAAGAGGTGCAAAGCTGTTTGCTTACTTCTCAGGTCCCTTTAGAGTTAGGTAGTTAGACTACATAGGGGAGAAACACAAAGGAAGCAGACAGCAAAATTGAGGTGTTGTATGGTTTCACCTGGCATGGCATCAAACATTGTAATGTTGACCTCACCCCTCTTCGTTCTTCTAACTAGCATTACACACTCCAATCCCTCACTTTTTCATGAACAGCCTGCCAAATGCACCAACACCCAACGTTAAGCATGTTAACGGCCTGGCAGAAGAGTCAACTCAATCTGGCTCCATGATACCACTCGCTTGTCCAGAATTGTAACAGCAGATCCAAAATGAGGCCGACACACAACACTGCTCTGTGTGAAAGCATGTTGTGTGTGTATGTGTGTGCACTTTCCAAAAACTAATCCCATTGTTTTGGAAGTCAACAACCAGTATTATTTTTTGTGTTATGCGTTTATTTAATGGAACACAATTTCATAGGTTTCTGCTCAGTCATCACCTGTTGTAGTATTTGCTTTCTGTCTTATATTCTGTCACTTTTGGTGTTGTATCTATTTTTTTTTTCTTTTTTTTCTCTGGGATGAAGGAAAAACTAACAAATGCACCACCCATCCGCTCAGTCGGCTGTGAAATTGTGTCAGTGGGTCAGTCGTGAGGTAACATGTTGACAAAAAGGGCTCTCTTAAAAAAAAATACTTCACAGTGGGTATTATTGTACAGTAGTGCTGCCAAAAGTCGTGCTTATGTAGCTAAAGCCACGCTGTGGTCTCCCCTTTGTACAGCACTATATGTGTGCATGTGTGTGTCTGCGTGTGTGTAAGGGCAAGAGGGTGGGAGTTTGGGGGTGTCGAAATGTGATGAGTGGCTTATATGGGGGTACTGTTTGGGATGGAGAGTGAAGGCTTTTGGGCAGGGGGTTACAGCAGCAGAGATTTTAGTGACTCTAACACAATTTCACAATGGCACTGGACCATTTTTCAGGCTCACAGGTCATGTTTTCACCTTCAACCCACCATCATTTTATCAAACTGTGAGGGGAGGAGTGGGGCGGGGGCTTTTGCTGCAACAGGAAGACATATGTGTGGAGATATGACAGTGTGTAAGAGTGTGCAAAAAGAAAGGGTATAAGTGTGCTAAGGCTGAAACACAATAATCAAATAGACGTCATCTAAAAACATCTAAAG